TTTCAGAACTTAGAAAATGAAGGGAATGTTCCTGAATTCACTAGGTGAAACAAACATAACCCTGCTTCCAAAACCAGGCAAAGACACCACTGAAAAAGAATATTATAGACCAATATCCCTTATGATCATTTTCATTTTCTAACTAGATTTACATGTGTTACTTGGGTAACAAAAACAAGAAACTAAAATGAGAAAATACAAAATCCATATATGTAATAATATTCTAAGCCTTAATCTACCTTCCAAAAAAAGCATTTAGAGAAAATACTAGAAAAATCTATGCAAAATGTTAGCAATGATTGGCTCTAGCGAAAAGGATTATAGGAGCCCTGGTGGCACAGTGGTTAAGTGCTCAGCTGCTAACCGAAGAGTCAGCGGTTTGAACCCACCAGTTATTCCATGGGAGAAAGCTGTGACAGTGTGTTTCTGTATAGATATACAGCCCCCAAATCCCCTCTGAGACAGTTCTACCCTGTCACATGGGGTCACTATGAGTCGACAGTCTATTTGATTATATGGTATGTAGGAAAAATGCTAGACTGCTCTGGTAGCATAGTGGTTATGAATCGGGCTGCAAATCTCAAGGTCAGCAGTTCAAAACCAGCTGTTCTGCGGGAGAAAAATGAGGCTTTCTGTTCCCGTAAAGATTTACAGCCTTGGAAACCCTGTGCAGGGTCGCTATGAGTCGGAACCGACTCCATGGCACATAACAACAACAACAACTACAAGGTAAGCAGTTCAACCTCACCAGCCACTCCTTGGAAACCCTATATAAGGGTCTCTATGAGTCAGAACCAGCTCAGTGCCACTTAACAACACAGCAACAAAAAAAATGTATGATAGATGATTTTTGTTCTTTATGATCTACTGGTGATTTCTCTTTTTTTGTATAGTAGTCATTCATAATTTAAAATATGCAAAATGGACATTTCCCCACAAATATAATGGAATATATCTCAAAGCCAAACAACAGAAATAGTTTAGTGTGAAAATTCGCTAATTGGGGTTGTTCTGAGCCACTTTTGATCAGTGACTAATTAAGAAAGGACTGTAAAAAACATGGCTCTTGTTTCATTTTCTCATCTTGAAAAAAACAGTTCAGCTCAAAGTAGAATATTCTGAGAGGGTGGGACTGAGGGTGTGGGGAATAGCATATAGATAGAAAATTCTAAATTAAAACTTCACAGCTGGGAAAGGTCTCCTCACCTTCTGCTCCAAAACAAACCTGGGTGAGCATGCAGTATGGTATACAAATATCTCATACTTAACAGCCCCAGATATTAGAAATGGAGACACTTACCTGCTAAAGTGGCCAAATTGCTGCTGGAAGCCCACTTAACAATGTAGGTCATTAAGACCTCTGAGGATGAGGCACATGTTTCTGACAGTTTATAGCGGGCGTGGGGAGCGCCCAGCTGTCGGCCTGAATGTTGTTGTTGTTATTTTTGTAATGTGCCATCCAGTCAGTTCTGACTCATAACGACCCTGTGCAGGGTTTCTGAGGAGCAGCTGATGAATTTAAACCATCGACCTTGTGGTTCAAACTGACCTCACGGCCCAGTGCTTTATCCCACAGTACCACACATCATTTGGTCTGGCCCTACCAAGACAACTACAGTTCCAGCCATCACATTTGTTGTTGTTGTTAAGTACCATCAAGTCAGTTCTGACCCATAGTGACCCTGTATAGGGTTTCTGAGAAGCAGCTGGTGAGCTTGAACCATCAACCTTGTTATTCAAACTGACTTTGCAGTCTGGCGCATTAACTCACAGTGCCACACCAGGACTCCAGCCATCACATTAAGCATGAGTTAATTAAATGTTTGACCAAATATAGCAAGCTAATTTTTATGGTGATAATTCTGTATGGTCCAGGAATGTTGTTATAAATTTTGGCAAGAAAAAGATCCTCCACCCCTGGCTTAACCACTTAAAGGAGCTCTGGTAGTGTAGTGGTTACAAATCGGGCTGTGAGCTGCAAGGTCATCAGTTTGAAATTACCAGCTGTTCCACTGGAGAAAGATGAGGCTTTCTGCTCCCATAAAGATTTATAGCCTTGGAAACCCTGTACAGGGTCGCTATGGGTCGGAACTGACTCCACAGCACATAACTACAACAACCCCTGGCTTAGAGGCAAGCTGTAGTGTGACCCACATTCCCTGCTTACAAGGTCCATCTTCTTGGGGGTGAGGCCATGAGGAGGTAACAGGGAGCCAGGTGAGGCATGATCTAAGGGGCAGAGGAGAAAGAGAATCCTAATACAGGCAGGGTATAAGGGCAGATCACCCAGAGCCCCTGGTAGTATAACAGAAGAAATAGGAGGTGCTGCAACCTTCATAGGGTAAAGTGACGGCTTTCTGACTGGGCTGTCAGAGCAACATGAGTCACCCAATTTTCTCATTCTAATAACAGCTACCATTGGGAACTTAGTGGCTCTGTAGGATAAGCACTGGGTTTTGAATCGCAAGGCAAGTGGTTTGAGCCCACCATCAGCTCCATGAGAGATATATGAGGCTTTCTGATCCCATAAAGATTTACAGCCAGTACAGCCTCAGTATGAAACAGAGCCAACTGAACAGCAATAACAGCCGCCATTCATGGATCATTATTAGAAGCCCAACACTTTGTTAAGCCCCTTCCATGTAGTGTTTCATTTAATCCTGGTAAGAACACTATGGAGAAAACCCAAATTTCCCCAATTTACAAATAAGAAAATTGAGGTATAGCAACACTGAGTATCTTTCTTCATAAGGTTCCAGAGTTTGGGACATCCCTTTGCTGTCAAGTCAATTTCTACTCACCCAGACCCAGTAAGACAGAGTAGAACTACCCCATAGGATTTCCAAGGCTGTAATCTCTGGTAGCGTAGTGGTTACGAATCGGGCTGAGACCCGCAAGGTCCGCATTTCGAAACTACCAACTGCTCCGCGGGAGAAAGATGAGGCGATCTGCTCCTTTAAAGATTTACAGCCTGATCAGGGTCGCTATGGGTCGAAACCGACTCGACGGCACTTAACAACAACAACAATCTTTATGGGAACAGAGTGCTATAGTTCTCTCTCGAGTAGTTGGTGGATTCAAACCACTGGCCTTTCAGTTAGTAACTTGGCACATAACTACTGTTTCCAGGGCTCCTTATTTGGGACATTGTTGTTGTTAAGTGCTGTCGAGTAGGTTCTGACTCATAGCAACCCTGTATAGGGTTTTTGAGGTGGGTTTGAACTGTTGACCTTGTGGTTTGCAGTCCAGTGTTTATCCTACAGGGAGCACCACACCAGGAGTCCAGATTTGGAACATATTCATGTTAAAACATTGTTATCTAAAATTCAAATATCTGTACTTCTTATGTGCTAACTTAGACAATTCTACGTGTTCATCACTCAACAAACACTAGTTCTAAGTCTACTGCTTGGGAGTCCCAGTCCTTGATAATATGGATAACTGTAGTAGGAATAGGGATTGGATCCAATGTTGTCTGGTTCCAAAGCCTACTTTGAGCAGGCATGTAGAGAAGGATACAATGAAAGCAATGGAGACCCTGCCTTCCATAAGAGAAGTTAAAACAAGCACAAATGAATGCAGTGATCGATCATGAAAACTGTTAACAAAGTCATGTGGTCCCCAAGCATGATTTGTTTGCCCAGACCATGTTCCTTTAAAAAATGAAATTGAAACCCTATGGGTGGGACATGCCATATCCAGCTCCTAAAGCCGTATTCTACTCATTTCGCTAGCCTGTCTGACACCTATTGGCTTTGCTCTTTTCATCCCTGTTTTAATGCTATTAGTTAATGACAAGTGCCATCAAGAGAGATAAAATGCTGGCACAGTACCAAGGTAAGAAAGATGATGCCCAGCTGGGGACTCAAAAAAGGCTGCAAGGAGAAAGGAGCATTTTGATTAATCTCCTCATCATCCCATTTGCCAGAGTATTGTTAGCGATATGTACTCAGTAGATTCAGCTCATTCGCTCATGCCACCAATATTGATTGAGCAGCGACTATGTCCCAACTACTGTTCTAGGTTTTGGAGGTATATTGTGATGGTCAAGACAGAGTCCCTGCCTCCAGTGATCTTATATTCAGGGATGGAGAAAGATCATAAATGACTAAGTATGTAATGAATTCCCAGTATACCAGTATGCTGAATTCTAAAAAAAAGTGTAAGAAAGGGCAACAAGAATGGTGGGGACAGCATTATTCCCAGGTTGATTGGGAAAGGCCTCTGTGAGGTTGGCTATAAGTAGCAAGAGCAATGTGAAGGAACTAGTCATATGGTAACATGACTTTCCTGGACAAAGGCATGGCACATGCAAAGTCCCTGAGGCAGCTGGTCTTAGTATGTACAAGGAGCAGTAAAGAAGTTGTGAGATAGAAGCAGAGTGAGTAATGAGATGGGTGAATGATGAGATCAGAAAGGTTGAGGAAGGGGTAGTCCAGGTTAGTGTTTCAGTGAGGCAGGGAGCTAAAATGGAGATAATAATAGTACCTGTTCCTTGGGGCTGTGTTGTTAAGTGCCATCAAGTCGGTTCCAACTCATAATAACCCAGTATAGGGTTTCCAAGGATCGGCTGGTGAGTTTGAACCACTGACTTTGTCGTTCAAACCTGCCTTGCGGTCCAGTGCTTATCTTACAGCACCCCACCAGTATTCTTGGGGCAATGATGAGTGGTGTTCAGTTCTCCACATAAAGTGTTACCTAATAAATGCAATAGATATGCCTGGTTCTTATTATTCAGTGTTTACAAATATCGGTATTGAGTGGGGCAGACTACTTATTGTCAGGGAGAACCATTTAGACACACTATTCGTTTTTGTTTGAAACATGAACTGCCTTCAAATGACTCAAATATATATGCACTGAAGCCTTTTATATAATGCCGGTCTCTGTAGCAAAGCCTTCCATTATTATCTTCGTCCCCCACTCCCCCAAACCCCAGTTACTCCTTTTACAAGCTTTCTTTGCATTTTAATTCTTATTTCCTCTTTTGTCTTCCACAGATAAAACTGTGAAGCTGTGGAAAGTGAGTGAGCGCGATAAGAGGCCAGAAGGCTACAACCTGAAAGATGAAGAGGGTCGGCTTCGGGACCCTTCCACCATCACAACCCTGCGGGTGAGCACAGCCAATCATTTGACTCCTGTGGCCACTAGAGTTGGGGAGGATCTTCCAAGGCCACCGGCAGACTACTGCCCTGGATTGCAACTATGATGTGTAATAGAGGGAGCTTATGCAGATATGTACTGTACCCGAGTCTCTGGCAGCAGATGGAAGGAGCAGGAAAGGTGCCAAGCCCTTATGACTACCAACCCGTGGTTTCATTTTGTCCTAATGGACCTGCCCACATGCACACCACCATTCATTACTGTATTCTTAGCCTCTGTCTGTTCACATATCTCAGATGTCTTGAGTACCTTCTGTGCTAGACAGGGCATAGGAATATCTAAATTGAAAGATGGAATCGCATAATTCAGAACATACATTTCAAAATCTAACAGTCCTAGCTTTGAGTTCTACCATGTTCCAAAATCTCCATCACTTCATCTTACTTGAGCTTTAGTTGTGCACGATCCTTTAGTTTCTTCATCTGCAAAATAACGAGCATAATACCCATAATCCCATGGACTAATAAGAATAAAATATAATAAAGCTAAGAAGCCCTAACTCTGATATTCAATAAATGTTGCCCCTGTTGGCAGCACTTAATAACAGCAACAACATTAGTAATCAGCAGTATCTGAGTAGTTTCTTCCTGCCCTGCAGATATGCATAGTCTGATAAGGAAAAGGGATTTTTAGGACCAATAGACAAATGATATGACACTAAATTGAATAAGAGAAAGGCAGTAAGAAGGAGCGATGGACAGCTGCCATTTAATCAATGGGAGGAGAAATGACTTTCGGTTCTGAGAGATCAGGAAAGGCCTCATAGGAAGGTAGTGTTGAAAATGGATTTCTCCACGTGGATTGTGAAGTTTTCCGCTATCTAGAGGTAAGTAAAGTAACTGAAGACCGGATGGTCACTGTTATGCGGGCATATGTTGGGACCAACTCCAGCCTCACGGGATTTTCAAACTGCAAAAACTGTGCTTTCAGACACCAGCAGTTCTACAGAAGACTAAAAATTATAAAGGGAGACAATGAAGTATTTGTGGGGAAAAGAGGTTCTTGTCCTAGATGTAAAAGTAGACACAGGAAAGAAATGGCCACTGTGTGCCTGGTGAGGTCACTTGTTTATTTGTTCACTCATTCGTTCATTGATTTGTTCATTCTGTAGTACTTTCTGAGCAAACTCATTGTAGGCTCCAGTGCTAGCCTGTGGTGTGTTCACCCATGGAGTCCCTGGGTGATGCAAACATTTAGAGGATTTGGCTGCTAACTGAAAGGTCAGAGGTTCAAGTCCACCCAGATGCACTTTGGAAAAAAGTCCTGGTGATCTACTTTAAAAAATAATCAGTCACTGGAAAGAGCACAGTTCTAACTTTGACACACATGAAGTCCTCATGAGTCTGTCAGTCACTTCACACTTGGCAGCAACTGCTTTGTGTATGTGTGTGTGTTTGTAATGGGTTGTTGTTGTTAGGTGCCATCGAATCAGTATTGACTCATAGTGACCCTTTGCACAACAGAACGAAACACTGCCCAGTCGTGGGCCAACCTCACAATTGTTGCCATGCTTAACCCAATTGATGCTACTACTTTACCAGTCCATCTTGCTGGGGGTCTTCCTCTTGATCTCTGACCTTCCACCTTACCAAACATGATAACCTTCTCCAGGGACTGGTCCCTCCTGACAATATGTCCAAAGTA